ACTGGGAGGGACTGGGAGGGACTGGGAGGGAACTGGGAGGGACTGGGAGGGACTGGGAGGGAACTGGGAGGGACTGGGAGGGACTGGGGGGGACTGGGATGGACTGGTTTATACTGGGAGCACTGGGTGGTTAGTCGGGGGGTGACTGGTTTATACTGGTTCATACTGAGAGCACTGGGTTATACTGTTTTTTTCTGGTCCATACTGGTCCATACTGGTTTTTACTGGTCCATACTGGTTTTTGCTGGTTTTTACTGGTTTTTACTGGTGTTCACTGGGTGCCACCCCCCCAGGCCCGGCCGAGCGCAGCGAGACCGCCCCGAGTGCCCGGGCCAGCAAGGGCAAGGTGGGACAGCGCTGGCACTGCCACTGTCACCGTCATTGTCACTGTGTCACTGTCACCGTCATTGTCACTGTGCCACTGTCACTGTCACCGTCATTGTCACTGTGTCACTGTCACCGTCATTGTCACTGTGTCACTGTCACCGTCATTGTCACTGTGCCACTGCCACCGTCATTGTCACTGTGTCACTGCCACTGCCACCGTCATTGTCACTGTGCCACTGTCACCGTCATTGTCACTGTGCCACTGTCACCGTCATTGTCACTGTGCCACTGTCACTGCCACCGTCATTGTCACTGTGCCACTGTCACCGTCATTGTCACGGTGCCACTGTCACTGTCACCGTCATTGTCACTGTGCCACTGCCACCGTCATTGTCACTGTGCCACTGTCACTGTCACTGTCATTGTCACTGTGTCACTGTCACTGTCACCGTCATTGTCACTGTGTCACTGTCCCTGCCCCATCCCTGTCCCTGTCCCTGTCCCCTCTGTCCCTGTCCCTGTCCCATCCCTGTCCCCTTTGTCCCATCCCTGTCCCCTCTGTCCCCATCCCTGTCCCCTCTGTCCCTGTCCCTGTCCCATCCCTGTCCCCTCTGTCCCTGTCCCCATCCCTGTCCCCTCTGTCACTGTCCCTGTCCCTGTCCCGTTCCTGTCCCCTCTGTCCCTGTCCCTGTCCCCTCTGTCCCCTTCCCTGTCCCCTCTGTCCCTGTCCCCTGTGTCACTGTCCCTGTCCCGTTCCTGTCCCTGTCCCATCCCTGTCCCCTCTGTCCCTGTCCCCTGTGTCACTGTCCCTGTCCCCATCCCTGTCCCNACTGGGAGGAACTGGGAGGGACTGGGATGGACTGGGAGGGAACTGGGATGAACTGGGATGGACTGGGAGGGAACTGGGATGGACTGGGAGGAACTGGGGGGGACTGGGAGGGAACTGGGTTATACTGGTTTATACTGGGAGCACTGGGAGGTTACTCGGGGGGTGACTGGTTTGTACCGGTTCATACTGAGAGCACTGGGTTATACTCATCCATAATGGCTTTTACTGGTCCATACTGGTCCATACTGGTCTTTACTGGTTTTTACTGGTGTTCACTGGGTGCCACCCCCCCAGGCCCGGCCGAGCGCAGCGAAACTGCCCCGAGCGCCCGGGCCAGCAAGGGCAAGGTGGGACAGCGCTGGCACTGCCACTGTCACCGTCATTGTCACTGTGCCACTGTCACCGTCATTGTCACTGTGTCACTGTCACTGTCATTGTCACTGTGTCACTGTCACCGTCATTGTCACTGTGTCACTGTCACCGTCATTGTCACTGTGTCACTGCCACTGCCACCGTCATTGTCACTGTGTCACTGTCACCATCATTGTCACTGTGTCACTGCCACCGTCATTGTCACTGTGTCACCGTCACCGTCATTGTCACTGTGTCACTGTCACCGTCATTGTCACTGTGTCACTGTCACTGCCACCGTCATTGTCACTGTGCCACTGTCACCGTCATTGTCACTGTGTCACTGTCACCGTCATTGTCACTGTGCCACTGCCACTGCCACCGTCATTGTCACTGTGCCACTGCCACCGTCATTGTCACTGTGTCACTGTCACTGTCACTGTCATTGTCACTGTGCCACTGCCACCGTCATTGTCACTGTGCCACTGTCACCGTCATTGTCACTGTGCCACTGCCACCGTCATTGTCACTGTGTCACTGTCACTGTCACAGTCATTGTCACTGTGCCACTGTCACCGTCATTGTCACTGTGTCACTGTCACCTCCCCTGTCCCCATCCCTGTCCCCGTCCCTGTCCCCTATGTCACTGTCCCTGTCCCATCCCTGTCCCTGTCCCTTTGTCCCCTGTCCCTGTCCCATCCCTGTCCCCTCTGTCCCTGTCCCCTGTGTCACTGTCCCATCCCTGTCCCCTCTGTCCCCATCCCTGTCCCTGTCCCTGTCCCCTCTGTCCCTGTCCCTGTCCCATCCCTGTCCCCTCTGTCCCGTCCCCTGTGTCACTGTCCCTGTCCCCAGGGGCTGCTGTGGAAGAGGCTCCTCCGGGACTGGAAGAGTCGCGGTGGCACCAGAAGTGACCCCGGGGTGGTGGCAGCACCCGAGGGTGACAGGTGAGGGCCACTCCTGTCCCAGTGACACCGCTGTCCCCTCAGTGTCCTGGTGACCCTGCTGTCCCTTTCTGGGGGGTCCTGGTGACACTGCTGTCCCCTCAGTGTCCCCTCAGGGTCCCCTCAGTGTCCCTTTTGGGGTCCCAGTGACCCC